ATTTTATATCTCTAAATGCTTATGTGAATAAAATAGAAAAAGAGGAGATCAATGAATTGGACATACAACTAAAAAAACTAGGAAAAGAACAAATTAAAAACCCTCAAACACCAAATTAGAAACACTGAAAACCAAAGGAGAAATTAATAAAATTAAAATTAATAAAACTATTGAACCAATAAATAAAACTAAGAGAAATGATCCAACATCAAGATAAAATAAAATAGAAATGATCCAGCATTTGATGAGAAAGAGGACCCCGTGGGATTTAAGAACATGGGACCACAACACACTATTTATGAGTGGTTTAAAAGAGAAATGAAAATTATGTCAGGAGAATTTATGTCTTATCCAGCAAAAATAATGAGCAGAATAGAAAAACTTGAACCTGCAATGGCAAGTCTAACCAAAGAAACAAAAGAGAACTATAGATTGGGAATGCAGATAGACAGAAGTGAAAGTCAACCTAAAAGAAGAGAAACAAAAAACAAGAACATTAAAAGAAAATTTGTTGACTATGCAAGCAAAATGTACCTCAAAGACAAGACACACAGAGACAACATAAAGATCAAAGATCTCCCAGAAGACTATTTTGTCCCAGAGGACAAAAAATCTTAACACTTTAATGAAGGAAATACTAGAAAACTGTCCAGAATTTCTGAACATAAAAAATGAAATTCCAAATGAAAGAATTCACAGACAACCTCCAGATAGTTAAAAGAAAACAACCTCAAAGCTCCAAACTCCAAGACACAATGGTTAAATTTAATAATTCAACTCAGCAACAGTTCTACAAGTAATCAGGAGGAAGACCTTCAAATTCAAAAGAAGGGACATTCAAATAATGCGAGACTATTCTGCACCCACTAGGAAAAGGAGAAAGAAGTGGAATAATGTGTTCCAAAGAGCAGTGGAGTTTAGGAAGCAACCCAGGGTGACCTAGCCATGTAGGACCAAAGATGGATATTCAATAATAAAAAGTTTGAAACATTTTTAGAAAAAAAAGACCAGAAATGAAGAGATTATTCACCTCTCAAACACCCAAAACAACAAAAATGCAGGAGGAGTGAATAAATACAGCAGCCAAGGACAGCAACAGCAACAATCAGAGTGACAACGATCAGTAAGAGACTTCTTTCTAAGTGTACACAAGGAGACAGGAGTGAAAGCGAAAGTCTAGTAGGGGGTAGCAGGGAAGAGGCAGATGGGGTATTATGGACAGAGCCCGATGACACTCTGCCTACAGGTGAATCAGTGCATGTTTGTGGGACTACATTACAACATGAGGAAGTAGCAAGGGGATAGAGAGGAGTGATTGATGTGCTTGGGTCAAATCAAGAGTTAGCCATGAGGCGAAAATGACCTTTGGTCTCAGAAAGAGAAGAGCCTGCAAGGGAGTACATAAGGAGAAAGGGGGAAATTGAAAAGGAGGGGAGAAAGAATGAGGCCTTACTTTGGAGGTGGGAAAACATTCCACTAATGAGTCCTCCTGTAAGTGAAAAGAGATGGTCAGTAAAGGGAGATGGGGAGTTGAAATGCCTGGGTGCAGGAGGTTGGTACCTGGAGGAGTTGGAGAGCATGGGCATGGAGATTTTCAAGCAAATGTAGAAAAAAAAGGTCAACAAGAGAGGCTGTAGATCAGTGGTGGGCTGCATAATTAGGGATCTGGTGAAACAGGGGCTCTACCATGAATCAGTTTCTTCCCCAACACCTGCAATAATTGGCATTCTTCTAGGAGTCAGGCACAATGGAACAGGGAACCCAGAGGGTAAGCCCTACAAGGCAATGTCAAAAAGTGCCTAGAATGTAGAGCCTAAATGGATACCATGGAAACTTTGACTGCATGAAGAATACAGAGAAAATAGAGAGAC